TGCAGCCAACTAACCCCACCCTGCACAGCCTCAGCTTCCTTGAAAAAAAAACTGAACCCAAATGCCAGATTTTATGTCACACCAGAGAAGCTGTTTTGTCAGCAGCAGAGGTCTAAGATCCACGGGAATCAAACTATTGCAAGTGCCAGAGCTAGGACTGAACGGGCGCACAGCCGTCAGCAGTTGTGTCACTGTAAGTAACACCTTTTGAAAAATACCTGCTGAAGGGAAAGCAAGGTGCTCCTGTCCCTTGGAGATGCTCTCTGACAGATAAAGAGGTGACTGATGACTGGAGGCTTGGCTCTGGTTGATGCTGAAGCCTCTGCTCCACCAGTCACCCCCAAGCCCAACAGCCTTCAAAGCAGGTAAACACCTACCTGAGCTCAACAGTTCCAAAATGCAATTGGGAAATGAGGGTGGAAGTCCTGCCACGCCAGCTGGGCAAAGTGAGGGACAAATCCATCCCCATGAGTGAGCGATATTTACCCTGAAAGGGTCGGCAGACAGAGGGTGCGAGTGGCTGTGTGGGTGCTGCAGCGGCTGCTGCCCTGTCCATACAGAGGGTGCCCAGGGGAAGCCAGCCTGGCCGAGACACGTTCATTATTCTGGGGAAGTACATGGCCAACAGCCTAATTCTGACTTGTGCCAAATTCTCCTCATCTCCCAGGTGGTACAGAGGAGCCCAAATAAACCCTTCATTCCTTTAGCTGCCACTATGATGCAGGACACAGACACCCCACCAGAACAAAAGATTTTTAATTTAGTATCCGAGTTCCCCATCAAGGTCCATCCTCACCACCACCCACAAGCCCAAGCTGTATTTCTAGGCTGACTTACCTCGCAGCTGGTGCTCTCTACCCGTCCTGCCCCACTCCATCTATAGCCATGGAAAGAACCGATCCCCAGAGAGTCGGGGCCAAGCTGGTCCTTCAGAGCGGCCGCTTGCTTTGTTTCTGGGCTGCGCTTGGTGGGAGGAAACACCCCCCTCTAGCTCCCTCTCAAATCTGTAGTGCAAACAGGGGTGGGATGGGTGGCCTGTGTACAGGCTGCACTGTGACTACATATGTGCCCTTTACACATGGTCTCTGGGCTTCCCAGCTCTGGGACAGGAAGGGAAAGGTAATCCAGGAAATAAATGGAGTGAGATCATTGCCTGCAATCCCTGCAGCCAAGAAATGCATTTTCTACCTTGTGAGTGGAACATCCAGGGTCACACAGCCTTTCTCTGCACAAAGGGAGGGATTTCTGGGCTGAGCTTACGGTACCTGACACAGGCTCACATGGTGGCTCCCACTGCTGATGCTCCCTTGGATTTATTTCCATTGCTTGCTACCTGTGAGAGATGACCTGTTTGAAAGCAAGTTGTAAATACTCTGCTACACCTGAGCGAATGGCCATGTAGGAATTCCTCCTGGCTACTTTGCAGAAAAAGAAAAATTTGAAAAGAGCTGAAGAAAGAAACTTAAAAGCAGTGGGTTTCAGTCCATTATGTTACAGCAAGTCATCAGATCCAGCATCCACATCTGTTTGAAATAACTCTCATGTAGATAATAACATCTAGGCCAGATATCACCGACAGAGATGAGGGAAAAATAAGCTGCTGTTCCCTTTCATTGAGCACGTTGCTCTGTGCCTGGGACAATGGCTGATACACACACAGGCACCTGCTCCTGAACAGTCAGTCACTGCTCTCCCATCACACAGGCTACGGAAGGGAGAGGAAAACATGGACCAGTATGGAGACCACATTATAAAACCCATAAAAACTGAGAGTGCTGGGTAGAGACACCATTGTAAAACAGAGAATTAATTACAGCCAGACACAATACTTGTGCCGATGCTCTCACCTACTGCTCTGCGCTGGCAGAATGCAGGTTGTGGAAACACCTGCTTTTCCCCTAAACCTGTAATTATTCATTAAAAACCCTGCCCCTCATCTTTCCTAACATCACCAGTTGAGTACTTGCCCTGCTTTTGCCACGCACATTTGCTGGACTTCTTTCCCCAAGCCAGCAGCCACACCACACCTGCTAAGGCAAACAGGAGAGTCAGGGCCAGCCAGGTACTTCTGCTCATCAGATTAAAGCAGCCAAACAATTTTGTTCTGCTTTTTTTTAACCACAGTTAAACTTCCTTTAGCAGAGACAAAATCCTGCCCAAGTAGCTCCAAGGCCGCACTATTCCAGAGGACACACACACATTTCAGGGCTGCTGTGCTATTCTTACTGGGGAGAAGGAACTGGTTCACCAGACACTCAGCACCACGCAGGCCCACACACTGCAACCAAGGTCAGCTACTGGCACA